TACCTTTTTCTTGACAATAAGAGTGAGACTCAACAATGGTAAATGTGTTCAAGGTCAGAAAAGTAATAAGATTAAAATTTAGACTGGGTAGTGCCAAGGTACACACCGTGTCCTGGACTCCACTGCTTTTCCATGCTGCTTGTGCTAGGATTTCCAATTTAAGCCATGGCATTCTCTACAGTGTAACCAGGAAAAATGTTGTGGCACTTGAGCACCCTGACTTGTTCCCATGCAGGTAGGGCAGGTTCCTGTACCCAGAAGTCACATTCTTTCTGTATGACTTTAAAGATAAACACAGGGCCAGATATAGCTGAGATGTACAGCACCTGCCTGGCCAGCACATGGACTTGAGTTTGATTCCTGGTAACAAAAATACACTACACTACTCTACAGATAGACTCAATTTGTGTTCAGCTTTTCTTTATTCTTTTATGCAAAAATTAAATCAAATCATAAGGGTCTCCAGAGCTTGCTTATTTGTTATTTTTTAACTTTTTGAGACAAGGTCTCGCAGTTCAGGTTGGTCTTGAGCTCACTTTGTAGCCAGGCTGGTCTCAAATTCGCAATCATCTGTCCTGACCTCCCTTGTGCTGGGATTTATAGGTATGTGTCACCATGCCTGGCTATCCAGAGCTAATTTATTTTTATTTATTTATTTTTTTTAAGACTCAAGTAAACTTTATTAATAACTTGTGTTTTTACATTGACCAGTACATGGCTTTTTCTTTGAGTCATGGAAATTTAGACATTGAAATAGAGAAATAAAAATTCACCCCTTGACTCTGACAGAGTTCTCACAGCCTTGAGTGAGTAGTGTAACTCTAGCTCACCCTTTTTTGCTCACTCCAGTTGTTGCTGTGATCTATAAAACAACTTCAGGGTCAGGTGAGCTCACAGAAAGTGTAGGTGCTTCTCCTAGGTATAAGTTTTTGGGAAACAGATGATCATTTGAACATCTTACATCTGGCTTATTTGGTCCATATTTTTTTTTTGTCTTTTTGAGACAGGGTCTTGCTATACAGTTCAGGCTGGCCTTGAGCTCACTGTGAAGCCCAGGCTGGTTTTGTTTTGTTTTGTTTTGTTTTGTTTTGTTTTTTTCAAAGTTTTATTGACAAACAGATAGCAATGAGACAGTTTCAAATCAAATCGGAAGGACAGTTTCAACGAATAATACACTGCATATATTCTTCTTAGTGGTTAATTGCTGTACAAGATGCGGACTTGTGATCCTATTTACAAACACCATTAGAACAAATCATTCTATTCATTAAGAGAATGCAACTATATATCTATCCCAACCTCTTTGAATACACAGATACAAAATGGACATTCATCGGTATACCCCATTTTTTCTAAGTTCCGTTATTGAATATTATAGGTGTGTAAACTCAGCAAAATATTCTAAAAGAGTCCAGTAGCCTATAATAGCATTGGGTCTTATATTTAACTGGCAATGTCAGAAATTATTGACCTGAGTCCCCACAGCTCAACTTAACAGCATGGCTTTATTTCTTATATTTCGACTTCATACTTTTCTACTGGATGGTTAAGACCAAGGTAAAGCAGGACCTATGCAACAAGAGTTGTAGCTTTTTGGTCTGAGAAGGTCAGTGAAATGCCCTCAGGATTTGTCCTGAGATCCTGTACCTCAGATTTCCAGAGCTAATTTAAAAGCTGTTTCTTCTGTTCAGCAAAAATTTGGAATCCATAGTCAAAATTTATATACATTTTTGTGATCATATATATATGACGACAAAAATATATATATTAAAAATGGAGGTTAAAAATTATAAATGGCAAAAAAAATATATAAATGGCAGTATAAGATTAAAGCAGTTAGTGTGTGACAGTGGACCAAAGTCTCAAGGTTACCATTAGATTCACAATGGCCTTTGATTAAAAGACCCACAGTTGTCATTAAGAGTCATTTTAGTCCAGAAGGAAAGGTGTTTACTTCATGTTTTCCCTCTTCATCTTCCCCCATCTTTTGTTTCCTCCTGTCTTTTCTAACTCCCTCTCTCCTTTTCTTTCCTCCTTACAAGAAACTTGTGATTTTTTTAGAACTGGAGATTGAACTCAGGCCCTTGTGCTTGCCAGGGAAGCCCTTATTCTACTGAGCCATCTCCCCAGCCCCAAAACTTGTGAATTTTTATAGAACTTTTTATAAAGATGTCTTCTTAGAAAATGAAAATGACTTTCAAATACACTTGTGAAGAGTATAGACTAGAGCAGTCTGCTCTAATTTACTAACATTCTGTAAAAGTATAGTCTGATTACAGGTTGATCTAGGAAAGCTTTGATTTATTCAGATGGTTATGATGTAACAGAATTCTTTTACTAATACAGAGAAGAGATTGGATTTTTACTTTCTGTAAAGGATCACACAGTAACTGTTCTTAGCTTTGAAGGCTCTACAGTCTTTGTCACAATTGCTAACTTCTAAAAGCAACCAGTTAACATTATTTTAATTGACAGTATTTAAATAAATGAGCATCCATGTTTGGATAAACCTTTATTTATATACACCAAAAAATAGAATTTCATGATTTTCATATGTAATATAGTTCCTCTTTCTTGCAGCTATTTAAAAATAAAAAGATCATTCTTAGTTCTCTGTACAGAAACAGATGCAGGTCAGATTGGTTGTGGACAGTGGGTTGCTGACTGTGCACTAGATGTTCTACTATATGCCAGCGTTTGCTCCTGCACTTGTACTGCCACTTTTAGTCTGATTATATCTATATTTGTGTTACACTTGTTTTTTATTTTTTGTTTGTTTGTTTTTTGTTTTTCTTTTCTTTTTCTTTTTCTGTTTTTTTTTTTTTTTTTTTTTTGAGGCAGAGTTTTGCTATGCAGTTCAGGCTGGCCTTGAACTTATTTTATAGCCCAGGCTGACCTCAAACTTGCAGCAGTCTTCTTCCCTCAGCGTCCTGAGCGCTGGAATTACAGGCCCGCGCTACTACATCTGGCTGTGTTACGTTCTTAATCTATTTAAAATCCAGATCTCTGGAGTATTATAATGTAAAAGATTGTGACAGAAATTCTGCAAGACATAGAGACTTCAGTGCAATTAATACAGGTAGTTGTCTGCCTAATAAACGTGACTCCTCACTTTATTTGCAGGCAGAATTCCTTGTTCAGATTTGATTCAGTGATGGTGGTGGTATACTTCAGGGAAGATTGCTTTCTTACTCTTCTCAAATAAAATAAAATTTTATTTTTTATTTTTTTTCAATTTTTTTATTTTTATTTTTTTACTGATTCATTTATTTTTATTTATTTATTTTTTTTAAGCTACAACTCTTTTTTTTTAATTATTTAATTATTTATTTATTTATTTATTACATTTATTTATTGTGTGTGTGTGTGGCCAGCTCAGCCCACCAGGGGGCGAGGCTGGCTGGCATGTGGTGCTGAAGGATCGAACCGCGGTCCTTGTGCTTTGCCAAGCTTGTTCCAAGTAGCTGCTTTAGACCACTGAGCCATCTCTCCAGCCCTAAAATAAAATTTTAAATGAACAAAATAAAGATATTTTATCTTTTTTTTGGTGAATGTCATGTTTTTAAAGACTGGGTCTGACCATTTATTTCAGCCTGTCTTTGAACACACTATATAGCTCAGGTTGGCCTCAAACTCAGCAGTCCTCTTGCCTAGGCCCTCTGAGTTCTGGCATGTGTCACCATGCCTGGCTAAGATATTTTATGTTTTTGACATACTGTAGGTTTATTTTCCTAATTTTTTTTTTTTTGTGGAACCGGGGATTGAACTCAGGCCCTTGGGCTTTCCAGGGAAGCGCTTATTCCACTGAGCCATCTATCTCCCTGGCCCCTTAGTTTCCTAATGTTTTGTTAGAGATATTTTTGACTTATCTAAATCTTTATGTTTAAAGTACATCTCCTAGGGCCGGCCAAATAGCTCAGCAAATTAAAGCGCCTGCAAGCAGGCATAGGGACCAGGGGTTCAATCCCCAGGCTTGCCGTGCCAGCTCTGCAACTGAGATGGCAACTGAGACTGGGCATGGTGCCATGTGCCTGTAATCCCAGCTCTTGGGAGGCTGTAAACAGGCAGATCACTACGAGTCCGATCTAGTAGTGAGACTGTGAACACCCTGTAGAACCTTCCCTAAAATACAAAAGTAAATAAATAAATAAAGGACATCTCCTATGTGAAACATACAGTTAGGTTGTCATCTTCTTTTTAAATCCAGCCTGACAATAGCAGACACTGTTGGTGGTTACAGCTGGAGGCGGCTTGGGGAGAGTTTTCTTCTAGCACCCTGTAGGGGCAGAGCAAAAGACCCTGCCAAGGTTAGACAACTCACATCACCTGGCACCCAGGCGATACAGAGGGCCAATAATGGGCATGGTCCAGAAACCCTGATTTTTATCATTGAATTTCGTTTGGTTTAGCACCTGTATTCCTTATTTTATTGTTGTCTTTCCTGTTTGAAGTATGCCTGTACCTGCTTAAGTTTTCACACTCGGCACTCAGGCAGCCTACATAGAAAGCCTTGTAACAGGATTCTGCATTTCCCCTGCCAGGCTTTGTGCTAAGGTAATGTGTTATGGCCCTTGCAGTATCTTATTTTTATATCACATTGCACAATTGAGGTATATACTTTGATCACATTTGATGTATGTGTACACTTGGGAAGCAATCACCACAAGCACAATACTGACCTTACTCATCATTACCTATACTTTTCTCTTGTGCCTTAGTAATTTCTCTCCCAACCCCAGGTAACCAGTGATCTGCTTTCTTTCACTACAAATAAGTTCACTTCTTTGTAGAATTTTTTATATAAATGGAATCATAAACTGTATCCTATTTCTTGTGATGTCTTATTTCCAGGATAGCCACTCTGAGATATATCCATATTGTTATGTATCATTAGAAATCATTCCTAAGGACCGACATGCCAAACAGGTTACTACTGTCAAACAAGATACTGAATTCTACTCACATAATCTGGGTTGTTTTTTGTTTTTTGTTTTTTGTAGGTCATGACCATCTAAGGAATGATAATCACATAAGAGCACCTATTAATACAGGTGTCATTTGGCTCATCAGAGAAAATCTGTCTAAAAGAAAATGTTCTGATGGATTCCCTTTACTCTGATTCATACCAAAGCTGTCCTGAACCAAAACAAGAAAGGATCCTGCATGAGTCAGTCTCAGAATGCCAGTTTCACATCACCAAGAGATGAAGAAAACCTCATGAACAGCAATCACAGAGACTCGGAGAGCATCACTGGTGAGTCCAGTTTAATCATACTGCTTGCAGTGCAGGGTGCACACACCTTGATCTGGCCTAGATGGCTTGTGAGAAATCGAGCTTCTCTTCCCCACCTGGGATCCTCAAAGACAGACTGAATTGATCTCTCCACCCCTGGCCTCCTTTCCCATGATCAGAATCTGCTTTGTGTTCCAGTCCTTGTCTGTGTTGGACTTCTGTTGCTTGCTAAGTCCCTGGTGAGCAGGAACTGTGTCACTTGCATCTTCTTATCTCCAGAGTGCAAGGACAGAGTTGCTTGTGTTTATGTGCTCCACAGACCAGGCACATGAGAGGCTCTTGGGACTTACAGGGCTACACTGGGAGCAGGGCCTTCCTGCTTTATCTTCGAGGCCAAATCAGAAGAACACAGGACACACAAAATTCATTCACCTATAAGACTTGACTTGTGTGGCTTTTTGTAGAGTTAGCTAAGTAAGAATATGTTTGCTGAGTATATATTAATAAATATGGATGCTGCTGCAAAATTTTGTTTCCTTTGCCAGAGTTAGAACATGTTTCTTTTTACTATTCACAAAGGGAATACCACATCTCTTAAAACTGAGGGTAGGCTGCCAGATAGCTCAGTGGGTTAAATCTCCTGCTCAGGGAGGGTGCAGGGGCTCGATCCCCAGGGTGCTATGCCAGCCCCACCCTGGGGCACACTGAGATGGCAATTGAGACTGGGCATGATGGCATTCACCTGTAATCCCAGGGCTTGGGAAGCTGAGAACAGGAAGATTACTATGAGTCCCATCTGTGTAATGAGATCCTGTAGATCCTGTACTAAATACATTAAAAAAAACAAAAACAAAAAACCGAGAGGGTAGATAACTACATCCTGTGTTTTCTCTAAGTCCTGGTATTTTAAATGTTAAAAGAAATGTGTCCCTCTCCCCCTGTTTTTAAATGGCTAAATTTAGGTGTTAGATGATGGGTAATACTGGAAACAGGAAGCTAGGAGCAGGCACATTAAGAAGAAAATTCCTGCAGTGCACAGAGACTGTGCAAGTGAGAAAGTAGTGATGTGAACAGCCTTCAGTGAGCCCTCTGTGTGCTGTGTTACCCTGGGTGCTTTGGTTGTTTACAACTTACCTACTTCTAACTACTACTGTGTAGTAGATGATTCTCTTTATTTTATAAAACAAAAATGAAGACCTACAATAAGTCATGCATCTAACATCCACAGCTATGAAAGTGGAATATTAGATTTAGAAGCTGGGTCTGACACCAAAGACCAGAGTTCTTTCTGATATTAAGAATGAAAAATAGGACAATAAATACTAAAGCAAGCACCTGAAGGAATTAGAAGACCTGTAAGGCTAATATGGCCTGTTAGAGGCATGCTGTGTAGGAACCTGGCCTCTAGGACAAGCGGCCAGTCCCTTTCCTGGGAGGGAGTGGGAGCAGGAGCAAGGGGGAGCTGTGCTTTGGCGGGCACAGTGCTGTATAGGAAACCGCAGGCTCTCAGTTCTTCAGGAGTTTACTTGCCTTTGTGGTCACCTTCCTCATCTAGGTGACAGACAGCATGGGCGGTTTCTGAAGTGCCTTCCATCGTGTATGTTCTGTAAGCATATAGATATTATAGCAGCCTTAAATTTAATTTGATTGGTAAGTCTAAAAACTTTCTAGTGAACCAATAATGAAAATAACTTAACATTTAGCAAATACTTCCGTGACATGCCAGGCATTGTCCCTAAGTACAAGTATTTTTTGTGCACAGTCTTACTTCATTCACACAGCCTCCATGGACGTAAGTGCCACAATACTGTCATAACTGTTTTACAACTAAAATGCTGGGCTTGGAGATAAATGACCCCCCCCGTATCATGTTCTGTTACACACTGAGCCTGAACTTGAGCCCAGGACAGTCACCTGTATCCTAGGAAATATATCTGAAGGCAAGGGAAGATTTTAGGAGGAAGCAATGTTTTCCTCCTTTAAATATCCTTCTCATATACATAAGCCTTTAATTATACCACATCTTTTTTCATTTTTGTATTTTGGTTAGATTATTTTTCATTTCCTCCTTGACCTCAGCCAATATTCAGATTCATGGGTCTTAGAGCAAGAGGGGAGACTCCCTGGAACACACTGGGCATCAGCTCAAAGGGGCCCAGACAACATTAGGAGTCGTGCTAATATTAGCCTCTGAGCTGACTATTCTAGCCCCTAAAACTTAACCAAAAACTTGTGCCACCTTTTCCCCCTGAACCTGGGTGAAGGGTGGGGAGCTCAACATGAGTTCATTTTTCTCCCCACTCTGGTTTCTGGTGGTTTTCTGCCCTGCTCCATGGAATGGATCTAACAGAATAAAATGACCAGCACTGTGTTAGCATTTTAGGTACTCAGTGATGGATATTGCCATTAAGTCAGGTACCCTCTCATCTTTCCACAGGGCCCTCATCCAATCTCTGAGACCATCCCCCAATGCATCTCCTGGCGCCTTTTCCCAGGGGCCTTAGATGCAGTCCTGCAGTCCCAGCCCCCAGGGACTGGCTAAATCAGGAGCTGTATACCTGCGGTCGCACAGCCGCATTCCCTGACAGAGAGGGCCCCTCACCGGCTCCCTCTTTGTGCAGCCTGCTCTGGCTCTGGGAGCTCAGGCTCCCAGGCCTTGTGGAGTCACGGAGAGGGAAAAATGCAGGCACCCTGCAAACACACACACTTTCTTTGAGTCCCACAGACATCTGAGAGTAATCTGTGGTGCTCGTTTTTCCTGACACTGGAAATAAATAAAATAAAGTTTCTCAGTACTTATATCAATGCTTTATAGACATTAATTTTTAAAGAATTTCTAGCTATTGTTAGAAAATACGAAAAGATAATTTTACAGATTATGAAAAAACCTTCCACAGAGTTCAAACATTAAATTTTTTCCCTTTTCAATCGACTGTTTTCTGTTGGTTGGTGTTGCCCCTCAATCTCCTGCCCAAGATGTAAGTGGAGATTAGTCCTTTTTAAAAAGATTGATACAACTTGGGAGGCTGAGGCAGGAGGAGTGCTATGAATTTGATGCCAGCCTATACTACATAGTGAGACCGTGTCACAAAAAAACAAAATAATTGATACTGGAGAGATAAGAAATTGGCTTCAATTCATATTAAACTTTAAAAACATAGTTAGAGTCACTAAGCAATATACTTTTTTTTTCTTTTAGGGAAGGGCCTACAGGTTCAGAGTCTCAGTATTAGATCAGACTTAGTGATCTGCCTGTTTACAGCCTCTCAAGAGCTGGGATTACAGGTGTGTGCCACTGCGTCCAGTCTCAATTGCCATCTCAGCACGCCCCGGGGGCAGGGATCGAACCCCTGGCCCCTGCACCTGCTTGCAGGTGCTTTAATCTGCTGAACTATTTGGCTGGCCCCTGCAGTATACTTTTGATAGTGTATAATTAAATTTTGTGGTATTACTTTTACTTGAGAAGTTGTCTTTTTAAAGAAATAAGAAAGACCAACAATAGTAAGTCACTGGAGGAGTGATCTTGCCTAGTGTTTTAGTTTTTAGCCCTCAAAAATCCAGTTTTACCGTAGCCTGGTGAACTGCAGTGTGCCGGACTCATTTACATGAGCTTTCCCTCAGATGTCTGCTCCGACCAGGACCTCCCTGAAGCTGAGCTGGTGAGCCTGCTGGAGGAGCAGCTGCCCCAGTACAAGCTGAGGGTGGACTCACTCCTTCTGTGTGAGAACCAGGACTGGGTGCAGTCACCACTTCAGCAGCAGCATGCACCTGACGCCCTCTCCCCAGTCCTTGCCGAAGAGACCTTCCGATACATGAGTGAGTGTTTTTACCCTGTTGAGCTTGCCATAGGTTTCACAGAACTGACTTTTGAGACTTGCCATTGATGATTGGTGTTTGTCTGCTTTGGTGCTGTGACTGGTTTCACGGGAGAGCCAGTGTTATGTCTGGGTGCAGGAGGCAGTCATCCCTACAGCTCTGAGTGACAGAATTGGCGAGCATATGTGGACATTTCCCTTTCTTCCATCTTTGAGTAGATACCTTCTTCATGCTGAGAAGAAAAAAAAAAAAAAAAAAACTTTTAAAACTTAGTAAAATTATTTGAAATTTTAATACCCCACATTTATAATTCCAGTAGTTTGGTACCCTTTTGGTGTATATTTTCCTTTATTCACTATAGTCAGAGAAATTATGTCAGTCAGTAAGGACCAGAGTTCTTCCATACAGTAGTTTTAATTATCTCAACAAGAATTACGTAAGGATCTAGAGAGACTGTTTCAGTGAAAACTGAGCTGGATTGTCCTAAAGATATATTTGTGTTATACCAAGCTGTCACAAATGACAAGATGAGAGTTAAATTTTATTCTCCTTCCAAATATCTGCTTTAATGCTGAATTTAACTTTTTTAATTGCAGTAGATATAGTAGCTATTAGAATATGTATAAAGTCTATAAGTTCAACGGTAGTTTGTGAAATTTATTTAATTTGAATTAAGCATGAGCTTGCACCAGGTCTTTGACATTTTCCTAGTAAATGCTTCCATGTTTTGGGGGTTTTTTGTGTGTATTTTAGGGAAGGGTCTACAGGGTGTTCAGGGTCTCACTACTAGATCAGACTCACAGTGATTCTCCTCTTTACAGCTTCCCACATGCTGAAATTATAGACGGCAGGCCCAGGGATTGAACCCCCAGGCCCCTGTGCCTGCTTGCAGGCACTTTAATCCGCTGAGCTATTTGGCTGGCCCTTGTTTCCATGTTTTTAATCCAGATTCTTGCTACGGAATGATTATTTTGCAATAACTGATTTTTATAGTAATTATTAACTGGCTTTTGGTGGTAATTTCCTAGAACCAGGCACTATTAGAACTTATTTACTTCTTAACAGTTTTCTCTCTTATTTGGCCTTTCTCCTTTTGGTTTTTGAGATAAGGGTCTTGCTTTGTAGCTCAGGCTTGCCTTGAGCTCATGACAGTTCTCCTGCCTCAGCCACCAGCATGGTGGGAATATCTGTGCACCACACTAGCTGGCTTTTGTTACAGTTTTCTAGCACTTACTGCCTGCAAGGTATGAGAAGAACTAGGATTCTAAACGTTATTTAAATTTGAATTGAACTACCAAGAAGCTCAAATACAACCATTTGATTCCTTAATCTTTATTTTAGATAGCTTAATTAAGCTAAATTTTTAAAAGTTTTCTTAAATTTTTAGTTTTGAAAAATTTCTTAAGATTTTTAGAAGGAATATTTTTTATTTCCGTTTTTCTTCTTTGGAGTTTATAACTATTTTGAGAAAAACTGTCAAACTAGAGTTTTATTAGGATAAACTTGATTTATCATTATTTTGAAAAAATGACACAAAGTACCCCTTGCTTGTTCTTGGTCCTCTAAGCCTATGGTGGGAGGTGTAGGGTGGAGCTAAAGCTTAGAAGGATGTCTTAGGATCATGATTTATTTATTTATTTACTTATTTTTTGAGGTACCAGAGATTGAACTCAGGACCTTGCGCTAGGATCATGATTTAATGGAATTACTTTTAGGATGAAATTTTAAATAAAAACACTGGAAAATATATAAAAATTATAAAATACTTTTCAAGACTATACAGAACATACCACAGTGTTCAAGGGAGTAGTTTTATACCTGAGATTAGTAGTATAATACAAGTCCATACTTCCAACTTGTGGGAAAGTATCCTCTTCCATTAGCCTCTTGGTATTATTTTTATTTCAGTAAGTTGAAAATGGAATTATAGATGAGGGACTTAGATCATGAAGCAGGTAAGCTAGGGTTCACTAACACTTTATCTTAATTTCACTATTATTTTAAAGAGAGCAATTATTGGGGTTAATAATTTAATCAAGTATAATCTGCGTTATGAATGTGCATCTATAAAAGTAAAAGGTGACTTACTTTAGTGAATATAGCGAAGTTTATTTTTATTTATTTTTGATTCTTTATTAGTACATGTGATTGAGCAGCTGTCTCAGTTACTCTTCTCTCGTTGCTGGGACAAATACCCGACACTCAAAATGAAGGAAGGAAAGGTTTATTTAGCTCACAGTTACTAGAGGTTTCAGTCCACCTCAGCTGGCTCCAAGGCAGAGGGGCACATGGCAGAGAGCAACCTTCCATGGCAGTGGCAAAGAGCATGAGAGCAAAATAGAGGAGCAGTGGCAACAGAGAGTAAGTCTGTCTCTCTGTCTCTTTTATATTACATTCAGGCCATCTGTCCCAGGCTGGGTATAGCACTTATACCTATAATCCCAGCAGTACTCAGACCCATAATCCCAGCAGTACTCTGACCCATAATCCCAGCAGTACTCTGACCCATAATTCCAGGGGATCATGAGTTAATCACAAACTCTAAAAGTCCGAAAAAATAAAAGTAAGTTCTCCCCATGACTTACATGAGGCTTTGGGGGGACAATTAGACATAAACCATAACAGCAACATTTAAAAAGCAAGAATTAAAAGATAAAGAAGAATATAAAATCTCTCCCCCCCCCTTTTATTTTCTGTATTAGGTATCAAAGCCAGGGCCTCCCATGTGTGAAAGTAGTGCAGGTGAGCTATATGCCCCCTCCCCCCTTCCCACAGTGTTCTGTGCTGTGGTTCCAGATGTGTGGCTTTGGATAACTTTTCACCCCTGGCAGCCCATCCCAGGGTTTTTCCCCTGTCTTCCTACTTCCCTCATATTCTGGTGGATCCCTCCTTCCACTAAAGTGCTTTTCAATAACTGAGAAGAAGGTTGGCAAGGCATAGTTACTTTTCCCTTATGAAGCACAAGTAGCTGAAAGGAGCTCTCAAGAAAATGGTGAGTTAGAGGGGAGTAAAGGAGGCCTTTGAGGTTGGAGCCTAGCTCACATGAATGAAGACGGAGAGTTCTCTGAAGTAACCCAAAGCAGAGAGTGATTGTTTACTTAAAACACACGAGAGCAGTGCCTGCTCCACATACTCACGAAGCTTAAGGTGCTCAAGGAATATCTCATGTAGACAGGTCATCCAGGGTTTTCTTTTACTACAGCAAGGCAAGTCCTACAGTAAGCTATGGGGCAAACTGTGCCTTCCAAACACACAGGATAGGGTGTTCCATCTGTTGATTAAAAGGTCAGAAGTAGTCAAGTGGATTTTATTTGGGGATAGAGGACTACCACTGTCTGAAGCAAAGTTAAAAGAGGAAGGGAAAATGATTAATTACACGTTTTATTTTGGGGAGTCATTCTCAAAATATGGCCCCACCTTAAGTACCACTTGGGAGGTTGTTAGGCAAATTCCTGGGTGTACCAATGGGCACCCATATTCTAGAGCCAAGGATAGGGAGCATTGTAAACCAAAGGGAATGGCCATTTCACAGAGACATTAATTGAAGAATAAGGATTAGGAAGGGTATACAATTTTAAAGATATATATACTTGCTGAATTTATTGTCTCTCATTGTTATGTGTACATTTCCTTGCATTCTACCCTCAGAAATCATCAGCATATACTGGCATGAAAAGAAATATTACAGAAGTTTAGAAAGTGTTACTCATCAGTCAGGCCCTAGACGCTAGCAGATTTATAATCCCCTGGCCCAGACTTTGGGGAGTGGTGATATTTAGACTATTTCTCATAAAACATAGTTGCTCTAACTTTTTTTTGTCATAATAAATAGTAGTAGAGGACCCTGGGTTCAATCCAGAGTACTATCAAAGAAAGAAAAACCCATCCCTGATAATTTATATTTTTCCAATCTTCTCACGTACAGTCATGTTCCCACTTTACAAAGCAAAATTGAGATCTGTGCTATTTTATAACATGTGTTCACAGATATATCATACTCTGGGTGTTTCATTAGACAAGGGCTTTTTGCTCTTAAGGTGGCTGTGGTAGAAACAGCAGCGTGGTGCAAAGAGCCATAGCTTTTCTGATTACATTGAGTTGGGCATTATCATCTGCATGTTAAAATCCTGACTGTGCCACTACTTTCTTTGTGATCTTGGATATGTCACACGATTCCTTTCAGAGAAGATACTCATGAAGGCAAATGAGATCATTAAACTAGGTAACTTAAATTCTCATACTGTGACAAGTGGTGAGTATTAGTGACAGGAGATATTTTAATTTTTTTCTCTTTAAAACATTTTTATTCTAAATATTTAATCTTCGTATTAGCATCCTTTTCTTCCCCTTCATGTGTGACTTAGAGTCACAGATATTTATCACATACTCAGCTTACTTTGCCTCACCAATGAGCCATATAAGCCTATAAACTAGTTGTCTGAACACTTACTTGAGTCTGTAGGATTCTAGGTTCTCACTTTGGGTGACTTGTAGTCCTAGGTTGGTGGCTTTGTCTGGGCTGCACATTTGGGAATCATCTTGTTACCCCAGTCCTGAGGCTCTTCTAGATCCACTAAAGCGGAATCATAGGAAGCATAGACTCAAGGCCCTTCGGTACCTACCAGTTATGTTTAAGAAGCAGTAACAGTACTTAGCAGTTTTTTGGTTACTTTGTTGTTCAGTATGTGTAATGGTTGATACATTTTGTCAACTTCAGAATTCCAGGAAGCTTAGAAGCTTAACTCAGTGACTCAGCAGGAGGCCCAGGGTCCTCAAATTGCCCAAGCTTGTGGAAAAGGAGACCATGATGATAGTGTGGGCAGATAGCCTGCATACAATATAAAGGAAGCTTGCTTTCCAACCCCCTTTTGCTCTTCTTGCCTTTGTTATCTCTGTCTCCATGAGCTGTTGCCCTCTGCCATGCCACCCTGCCTTGGAGCTGAATATGGACTGAAATGAGCTAAATAAACCTTTTCTTCCTTAATTTGGGGCATCAGGTATTTTATCTTAGCAGCAAGATAAAAAAGTAACCAAGATTGTATGATTATCATATTTGAACCTCCTAATGACCTTGTATCTAAGAGCAAGGTTATCACTTCCATATTGTAAATATAGAACCCAAATCTGAGAAGAGTTAAGTGACTTATTCAAGCTCACTGAAATAAATGAATTCAGCTTTTCTGTTTCAAAGCCTTTTTTTACACTTCAGTCAAGCTATCTGAATCTAAGTCAAACACAAATCCATGTACCCATGTGAATAACTTATAATGTGTTCAAAGAGTTTTGTTATGTATTTTTAACTTTAAGAGATACTATTCAGTGTGCTATGGAGACATGGGAATCATATTTGCCCTTTTCTTGGAGCTAATTTTATCTAGGTACATGCATGATAACTTAAACTTTGAAGTATCAAAATACTAGGTTTAAATTATACAACTAATATGATATATAACTTATTTTATAGTAAATATAGATATGAACTGAAATACTGTATATTACTGTATACATAGTGTTTTTAATTAAGCGTAAAAGGATTATGGTTCAAAACAACTATAAAAAGCCCTGCAAGTTCTGTTGCTTATTTACATGAGGTCATCTGATCTTATGTAGTCAAGATAATACAAGGAGTATTCTGTTTAAATTTCTTTATAACATTGTAACACTTCACAAACTCAGCCTTCAGTAACTTTAGTTTTGATGAGGACATAAGCATCATTGTCTCAGCCATGTTTCTCAGATGTGAGTGGGTCAAACTTCTTATATTTCCAGAGGAGGAGAAGGTAGTCAAGAGGCCACTGCTTTGTAGTCATCTGATTTATTGTGTGATATATGCTTTGTAGTGATTGGTCTATTTCCTGAGTGTCCATACACTTTCAAAATCCATTCTTTTTTCATTTTTATTCTTCTGAACAACTTCTGATATAAACCTGTGGTTTTTGTCATTGTTATCTTTTCAATTTTTACAAATATTTTAAAGTATCTATTATTCTGAGGCCTATCAATAATTGTTTTTAACCGTTTTAGTTCTAGGCACAGACAGGGTTGAGCAGATGACCAAAACGTACAATGACATCGACATGGTTACACATCTCCTGGCAGAGGTAGGAACACTCCTTTTTCCAGTACAGAAAACTAAAAATTGGGCATCATTTGGAAGCTATCAGATTTGTATATCAGGTGGAAGGTGAAGGTTTTTGTGGTGTGGGTGGTTACAGCTAGAACAACTGGTATACGAATTGGCATTCCAAGTTATGTGGTTCCTGAAGTTTGTAGTGCAGTCATAGAGGATGGGAGGATTGATTGGTGTGGTGCTGGCTGATTTCCCTTTCCTAGAAAAAAATATAAAAATGGTTTTTAAGTTGTTCCTGAGACAGAGCTGCAGCTCCACTGCAGACCAGCACCTGCAGGTGGGAGCATCTCCCACGTTTACTCTCAGGTTGGGCTCTGAGTTCACCCTGTCCACGGCATTTTAACAAGTACAGTAGTAAAACTGTCAGCCAAGGTGTTCTCTTCTGTACTCTGTTTCACTTGGTCTTTAGAAGGCTTCTCCCTGGGGTGTACTTCTGTCCTCTCCCTCCAGCTCCCAGAATGATTTCTGTGTGTGCCACTTGGCTAAATGAGATATACAGCCTTGCAGTGCAGAGATAATCCACCCATTTTCATGTGCTATGTAGAGAAAGGAGAGAAGCTTAATTTTATTCATTCACTGATCAATATAAGTAGAACCCACACTCATCTGTACAGCAGATGCATAGTGACAGTTTTTCATCCTGTAAATAAAATCATGATTACTCTCAGGCACAGTGGGGTTCTGTGCCCTTGCCAAGTCTCCATCTATGCAGAATGAGTACTCTGAGTAGGCCCTGTGAGGCCTTCCTGCACGCCTCTTTACATCACACCAACTTCACAGCTCCTTCTCCGTAGTCTAGGCCAAGTCCTATAGCCTCAAAATGTCCTGGGATTTTTGTTTGTTTGTTATTTCCCATTATCATTCTTGTACCAGTTATTAGCAGAGCTCTTGGCTGTATTATCTTCTAAGCCACAGGCTCTGATTGCTTGTGAGCTTGCCCTAAATGGAACTGTTTTCAGAATACTCACCTGATTCCCATGACAGTAAGACCTTACTCTGTATCATTACCATGCTTCCTGCACAGTCACTCTTAACAGTATTTGGGAGGTTTTTATTACGCAGGGCATGTGTGTGTCTATGGTGGAAATTGAACTCTGGCATGCTACCTTTGAACTATAGGCCAAACTCCTCACCCTCCTTAAAGTCTCTTGCTTTTT